GCGGCCCAGTTCTGGTTCTTGCTACTTGGAGGTTTCAGGGTACTTAGCAACCCTAGTTCAGCTGTACTTATAATAGGGTTTAGTTTAGGGCCCTTAAAAGGGGACTTAGGTTTCAAAAAGGGGTCCCCTTTTAAGGGCCCCTACTAAGGGACCATGTAACTACCCTAAGGATCAAGCCCTTAGTTTTCCTTTTTTAACCTTAAAAGCCCGTGAGCCCAAGCAGCAAGCTCAGAGCAGCCTAGAAAACTTCGAAGCTCTAAAAGCTCGAAAGCCCTCTGACTTGGCATGAGTTCCCCTATATACTAAAAGGCATTCATAGGGATGCTAAGAGGGGGTAGGGTTTAGGGTTTAGGGTTTAGGGTTTGGGGTTTGGGGTTTAGGGTTTAGGGTTTAGGGTTTAGGGTTTAGGGTTTAGGGTTTAGGGTTTAGGGTTTAGGGTTTAGGGTTTAGGGTTTAGGGTTTAGGGTTTAGCGTTAGTACTTGGGGGAGCTACCCTAGTAGCTGGAGGTGGAGAAAGGCCTTGGCAGGCTTACAAAAGCCAGGTGCCCGAAACCTAAGGACCCTAAACCCAAAACCCTAAACCCTGGAAACCCTGAAGCTCCCCCAACAGTTGCAGGTGGAGAAGGAGGTCGTCAAGGAGATTCCTGTGGAGGTCGTTCGCATCGTGCCACCCTCAGATTTTGAGGGTTTAGGGTTTAAGGTTTTGATGACCCTCGGATGACTTAGAGGGTGTGGTTTCGAGGTTTTGGGTTCAGGGTTTGGGGTTTAGGGTTTGGGGTTTAGGGTTGAGGGTTTAGGGTTGAAGGGGTTTGGCGTTTGGGGTTCAGGAGGTTTGGCGTTGAGCGCGTTTAGGATGGAGGGCCCTAAACCCTAAACCGAGGGTTCTTTAGGACTTCGGATTCAGGGGCTTCAGATTTTTGTATTTCGGGCTCATCAGTGTTGATTCTCATTTAGAGGTGGCTTAGGCCTTTGGGTTCTAGCACACCCTGAACTTCAGGGCTTTTTAGGGTTGAGGGTGTTGTGCTGGGTTTAGGCTCTCGGGTCTTGTGTGCCCTTGAGCCTCAGAATCGCGTTGCTGGAGCCCCTAAACCCTATGCCCCAAACCGACAGTGACAAGTTGAGGGTTTAGGGTTTAGGGGCTGAGGGTTTAGGGTTTACGTAACCTGAAACACTCATCCAAGATCCACCCCCAGTTGCTCAACTCCCGAAAGGGCCACATCCATCCCGACCCAGAGCCAAGCCACGAGGAGGGGTTCAGCGACTCGTCTCCAGAGCTTTGAGGGTTTAGCTCGGGTTTAGGGTTTAGGGTTTGGTGTTTGGGGTTTATGATTTAGGGTTCTATGAATTTTGGGAGTTTAGGGAGTTCTGGGTCCAGAGTGTTTAGGGTGTTTAGGGTTTAGCACGTTCAGGTGGAGAAGGAGGTTCCCGTGGAAGTGATCCGCGAGGTGCGCGTCGTTGAGAGACTACGGCCCAGTGCTCTCGTCCCTTGCTGGGTTCTCGTTTCCGTGATAAGGCTATGTGGGGATTTACGAAAATAGGGGGCCCCCAATATAGATCCCCAAACAATAATAGCACCCCTTCATAACGAGGACCCGAATAAGGTACCCCTAATTTCGGAACCCCCCCCCCCATGTAGTTAAGGTTAAAGTTTCGCTGTTCTGGCATCTAACCTGAGTTTTTGGACAAGAACCTGGCCTCAGGTTGCTGGATGCAATGAAGGACACCCCCCCCCAAAAAAAAAAAAAACAAAAAAAACCAGACGAACGACCTGAGCTCTAAACCCACTCAACCCTCAAACCCACGATTACCCAAACCTCCGATGGCTTCGCCTGTACCCTAAACCCTAAACCCTAAACCCTAAACCCTAAACCCTAAACCCTAAACCCTAAACCCTAAACCCTAAACCCTAAACCCCAAACCCCAAACCCCAAACCCCAAACCCCAAACCCCAAACCCCAAACCCCAAACCCTAGCAGCCCCTGAAACCCTAAGAACCTCCGAATGCCTCGGCAGGTGGAGAGGGAAGTCCTCAAAGAGGTGCCCGTGGAGGTGATCCGCGAGGCACTTCCAACTTCCAACCAGGGTTTAGGGTTTAGGGTTTAGGGTTTAGGGTTTAGGATTTAGGATTTAGGGTTTAGGGTTTAGGGTTAGGGTTAAGGGTTTAGGGTTAGGGTTTACGGTTTAAGAGATGGTTTAAGGGCTTCTGGGCTTCAGGGTTTAGGGGAGTAGATCTGGAGGGTTCCGATGAGAGGAGTTTGAACCCTACGGCTTTGGGGCTGTCTTCGGGGGCTCAGATTTTAAGCGGAGGCCTCTTGGTGTAGCTACAAGGGCCTTCTATTTGGGGAGCCCTTGCATACTCCTTAACGTGCCCTAGAACACCCAGCAGCCTGTACTTCAGAACTCTGACAAAGAAAGGTAAGGGACCGTATGAAGGGACCATGTGACTGAACGTGAGCTAGCCGCTAGCCATCCTATCCGCGACTGACGAGCAGACGGCGGATGACGTGGCACACAATCCGTCGCTGGGTTTTCAGAGGAGGGCCGTGATGCAGCTGTACGCGCACCAGGGCTTGAACATCGCAGCATGCTCAGTGGGCCCGGCCACCCACGATTCCCAGACACGAGGAGCGAGATTCTGTTATATGATCAATTGTCAACGAATCTACTTTTTGTGGGCATCTTAGGCCATTGTAGCACCCCAAGCCGTAAACACATTTACAAAGGCCGGAGTTCCGGCTGCTTGCCGGGCTTCAAACATTCACAAACTAGGGTTTAGGGTTGATGGCTTAGGGGTTTAGGAGGGCTGCGGGAAACCCTAAACCCGAAACCCTAAACCCTAAACTCTAAGCCTTCCGGACACTAAACCCTCTCTACCGATGCATCTTTAAAACTTAATGGAGACGTGGTCCTTTAGGATTCAGGATTTAGGATTCAAGCTTAGGATTTAGGATTCAGAACTTAGGATTTAGGAATCAGGGGCCTTTGTGGGCCTTTAGGATTTCGGTGTCAGGATTCAGGATGATAGGGTTTATTGAGGTTCAGGGCCTTTGCGGGGCCTTCAGGATTTAGGATTTAGGATCTAGGATTCAGGATGAGGAGTTGAGGATGAGGATCTGGCATGTAGAGTTCAGGCTTTAGGATGTAGGGTTCAGAGGGCCTTTAGCAATTTAGAAGGCTTTATGGGTTTGGGTTTATGATTCAGGACTAAGGGTTCAGGTTTGGGGGCTTAGCATTTAGGTTTTAGGATTTAGAGTTTAGGATGTGGGGTTTCAGACTTAGGGACTAGAACTTCAGGTTTAGGATTTCGAGCTTAGGATTTAGGCTTTGGGATTTAGAGTTTTTTGGATTGAGGATTGAGGATTTTGGGCTTGGGGTTCAAGGGCCGCCTCTGTGGGCAGGCATCCCAGGATTCGGGTTTTTTGGGGAAAAAAACGGCCCTGGTATAGTAGTACTTATGCAAAGGGCTTGATGGCAGAAATGACCGCTTGACTTTCCAGATTTGAGGTTTGGGACAAACCCTAAACCCTAAACCCTAAACCCTAAACCCTAAACCCTAAACCCTAAACCCTAAACCCTAAACCCTAGGCCTGCAGAAATGACCCCACGTTTTTTCTCAGAGACCTCCAGCAAGGGCCGAGAAGGGCTGTTGTCTGGGCGAATGAGAAAAAAGGGGTTTAGGGTTTGGGGCTTCTGGTTTAGGGTTTAGGGTTTAAAATTAGGGTCTAGGATGTGGGGTTTAGGGCCTAGGGTTGGTTGGTTGGTTGGTGTTTTTTGGGCTGAGCGAGCCGAATGAGAAAAGGGTGTGGTTGTGAATGGTAACGATTTAAGTAAGAAATCGATTCAAAAAACTCAAATTCGAAGGCATTCTGGGAGGGTGCGGTGATGCCAAACACATAGTGATGTAACGAGGCCTTGCTACGCGCCGCCTCAGGCCAATCCTAGACCCCAAACCCCGAAGCCATGTAGACCCTAAAGCCCTACACCCTAAACCCTAACCCCACACCCTAAACCCTAAACCCTTGGAGCCAGGTGGTCAAGGAAGTTCCCGTCGAGACGATCGTCGCAGCTCAGTTGAAAGTTTAAAGTTTTGTTTTTTTTGGGGTTTTTGGCTCTGGTTTGGAGCCTAAACCGAAAAGCCCTTAAAAGTACGGTGGGGGAGGACTAGTTCGCGAAGTAGGATGCCACAACTGGGCCCAGAGTAGGCCCTTACTCATGTTTTTAGGGCTTAGGTTCTCTTATAAGCCCCTTTAAACCCAAAAGGGCACCCTTTTCATTCCTAGGCTACTCTTGGGTCTAGCCCTAAACCCTAATCCCGAAGCCCTAATCCCTAAATCTTAAACCCTAAACCCTAAACCCTAAGCCCTAAGCCCTAAGCCCTAAGCCCTAAACCCTAAACCCTAAGCCTTTTTTGTTCCTAGGCTACTCTGGGGCCTAGAAGCGTGCTGAAGGTTTGGAGCTCCGAAGGGCCAGCCTCCATGATGCCCTATCTAGGAGCACCATCCCCCAGGAGGGCCCTACATTGAACTTAAAGGGTTTAGGGTTTAGGGTTTAGGGTTTCGGTTTAGGGTTTAGGGTTTAGGGTTTAGGGTTTAGGGTTTGGCTGCTAAACCCCGCCGGAACCCCTAAGAACCTCCAACCCTGCACCGCCCTTCATCGTCCCGAGGAGAAGATCGTCGAAGTGGAGAAGCCCGCCCACAAAGAGGCGCGTCGGAGCTGCCTACCTGGTAGCAGTTGTTTAGGGTTTAGGGTTTAGGGTTTAGGGTTTAGGGTTTAGGGTTTAGGGTTGTCTGACTTGCTTGGAGGTTCAGGGTAGTTAGTACTCCACTATAAGTGTAGATATATCCCACATATACAAGCCCCTTAAGTACCCTAGTAGGGATATTATGGGGTTACTAAGTACCATGAACCTCCAGGTAGGGGCTGGGTAGCTAGCTGTTACCTTTTTGGTTGTACAGAGTCCTGCTGTGCATCAACCCTAAACCCTAAACGCATAAACGGATATGCTTTTGTGGCGATGCGCCTTTGTGCCGGAGGAGGGCAATGAGAACGATCTTCCTGATGAAGCAGAGGAGGCAGAGCCCGAGATGTGCGTCATTTGCCATGATTGTATGCTTGCGGACGATGTGTTGCTCAGGTTGGTCTGTGGTCATGTGTACCATCATGATTGCTGTCTCCGCTGGGCCAATGCAGCCGGCATGGCCCAGGCTGATGCTGACATGCCATGCCCTATGCGGTGCCATCTGGCGAGAGTGGCGAATGCAGCCAACCCGAATGCAGGCAACGCCAATCCTGCTAACCCAAATGATGCAGACAATGGCCTGAATACCCCCTCAGGGTTCAGGAGTAAAAAAGGGACTCCCTCAGAGTTCCTTTAGAATTCTACTGAAATCTCCACCCAAACCCCTGCTCCAATTTTTAAGGCCCCTACGTCATCTGGTAGCAGAGGTTTGTGGGTTCAGGGGTAATGTAGGGGTCCGAATAGTTTCTCACGTTATTTCCTCAGGTTCCCTATATAATTATACTATGATAAACCCCCCCCAAACCCCATTCTAGCTTTTAAAGCCCCCCAGAGTACCCGAAACCTTAAACCCTACACCCTACACCCTCAACTCAAATACTTGCGCGCTGCACCCTGTGCTGGCGAACGGTTGCTGCTGGTACACGCGGGGCTTTAACTCTGTAACATCGCCCCGCCATCCCTTACCCTTTGTTTAGAACTGAGGGTTGATCCAGGTTTACGACGACTTTTCTGAGCTGCTTTTTCTGGACCTCTAAACCCTAAACCCTAAAACCCTAAACCCTAAACCCTAAACAACTCTAAACCCTAAACCCTAAAACCACTTGCAAGCCCGAGCCCTCTTCTCTTGTAAGCCCATTGAAGCCCAACGCCCAGTACCCTCCATCCTGCCCAAAACCTCTGATATAGGGGTCGGAAGAAATGCTAATAGTCTTCCCTTAGGGTCCATTTATATTTCTACTATAAGAGCCCCCCCCCCCCCCAAAAAAAAAAAAAAAAGACAAAAGAAACCTTTTTTATACTTATTCAGGCCCCTGTTATGAAGCCCGAACTCTAAACCCTAACCCTAAACGCTAAACCCTCAACCCTCAACCCTCAACCCTAAGCCCTAAGCCCTAAGCCCTAAGCCCTAAACCCCAAACCCCAAACCCCAAACCCCAAACCCTAAACTCAACTCAAAGCTCTCAAAGGCTTCGGCCCCAAAGGCGAGCCCTCAGCCGCCATCCGACCTGGTCTCTCAGGCTTGGCGTTTAGGGCTTAGGTTTTTAGGATTTAGGGTTTAGGGTTTAGGGTTTGGGGTTTAGGGTTTAGGGAGACGTTTTGTGAAAGGCTTTCGGCATCAGCTTGAGAATCCCATGTGGCTTGAGGCCACCTTACGAGATAATGGACCCTCTTTTTGTCCCTTGATGGACTGACCATGTTAGATCGGCTCCCTAAACCCTAAACCCTAAACCCTAAACCCTAAACCCTAAACCCTAAACCCTGCAACCCTAAACGCATAGTCTTAGGAGGGAGGTGAAGGATTTTGGTGGAGTGCTTGGCATCGAAAACTAGGACGGTGGAAAATTCAAGGCCGTCAGGGCACTTGAGGTGTCTTGGTTAGGATTTAGGTTTAGGGTTTAAGGTTTGGTGTTTAGGATTCAGGGTTTACGGCTTATAACGTTTTCGAGTTTTTGCTGCTTTAGGCCTCAGATCTTCAATTGAGCGGCGCTCTGCTTTAGGCCTTTGGACTTTGGCGTATTTGGGGTATGGGTTTATGTGATATTTTCTAGAGGGCCTACTACATTCAAAAAGCCCTCTCCGTGCTGTTGAAATTGAGAAGACAACTGAAGATTGTTTAGAGAAGACAACAATATAAAGAGCCATTGGGGGGAGTTTAGGATGCTAAGACTTTTGGAGCCTCTTCATTCCCTGGTAATGAAGAACTCGGAATATGTTTTTTTGACATTGCCACTCACTTCTGCGCCGTGGTTCGTGTCGAGTCGTCATACACGTTGAGGTGGGCATAATTCGGGCCAAGTGCCGGCGGAAGCCAGCATGTGGCCATTGACCATCCACAGCGTTGCCGGTTCAACGTTTGAGCTCCATGCGGGCGAAGCGGAAATGGGGCTGGATGTGCGGAGACGCGTCGCAGGACGTGTTGGCCTTTCTGAAGCGTCCATCGTGCTGACTTCAGGTGACCGTGTTCTTGATCTGCACCAGCCGCTGCTGAAACAAACTCAAAATCAAGAGCTCGCATACCTGGCTCGTAAATTTGGCGCAGGCTGCTCGGCACACAGTCTAGAACGAGCATTAGCAAGAACAGCATCGAGTGACGACACGGATGCCATAGCTGGGGTTGTTGCGTTGACTTTCGGCCGCGATTTCAACCAGACCTTGGAAGGGGTGCAGCTTCCCAGCGGCCTACAGACCTTGACCTTCGGCGTCGTCTTCAACCAGGGCTTGGAAGGGGTGCAGCTTCCCTGCGGCCTACAGACCTTGACCTTCGGCCGTGAGTTCGAACAGAGCTTGGAAGGGGTGCAGCTTCCCAGCAGCCTACAGATCTTGACTTTCGGCGAGAGCTTTAACCAGAGCTTGGAAGGGGTTCAGCTTCCCAGCGGGCTACAGACCTTGACATTCGGCTTCAGATTCAACCAGAGCTTGGAAAGGGTGCAGCTTCCCAGCGGCCTACAGGCCTTGACCTTCGGCTGGAACTTCAACCAGTGCTTGGAAGGGGTGAAGCTTCCCAGCGGCCTACAGAGCTTGACCTTCGGCGTCGTTTTCAACCAGGGCTTGGAAGGGGTGCAGCTTCCCTGCGGCCTACAGACCTTGACCTTCGGCCGTGAGTTCAACCAGAGCTTGGAAGGGCTGCGGCTTCCCAGCGGCCTACAGACCTTGACTTTCGGCAAACGCTTCAACCAGAGCTTGGAAGGGGTGCTTCTTCCCAGCGGTCTACAGACCTTGACCTTCGGCGACGTGTTCAACCACAGCTTGGAAGGGCTGCGGCTTCCCGGCGGTTTACAGACCTTGACCTTTGGCGAGCGCTTCAACCAGAGCTTGGAAGGGGTGGAGCTTCCCAGCAGCCTACAGACTTTGACTTTCGGGGATGAGTTCAACCAGAGCTTGAAAGAGGTGCAGCTTCCCAGCGGCCTGCAGACCTTGACCTTCGGCGAGTATTTCAGGGAGAGCTGGAAAGGGGTGCAGCTTTCAAGCGGCATTCATACCTTGACCTTCGGCGAATGCTTCGACCAGAGTTTGGAAGGAGTGCAGCGTCCCAGTGGTTTGCAGACCTTGACCTTCGGCTTCAGATTCAACCAGAGCTTGGAAGGGGTGCAGCTTCCCAGCGGCTTACAGACCTTGACCTTCGTCTTTGCATTCGACCAGAGCTTGGAAGGGGTGCAGCTTCCCAGAGGCCTACAGACCTTGACCTTCGGTGATGATTTCGACCAGATTGTGAACGGGGTGCAGCTTCCCAGCGGCCTACAGACCTTGACCTTCGGCTTCAGATTCAACCAGAGCTTGGAAGGGGTGCGGCTTCCCTGCGGCCTACAGACCTTGACCTTTGGCGAGCGCTTCAACCAGAGCTTGGAAGGGGTGGAGCTTCCCAGCGGCCTACAGACTTTGACATTCGGCCGCGATTTTAACCAGAGCTTGGAAGGGGAGCTTCTTGCTGGCAACCTGCAGACCTTAACTTTCGGCGAACGCTTCAATCAGAGCTTGGAAGGGGTGCAGCTTCCCAGCGGTCTACAGACCTTGACCTTCGGCCATGATTTCAACCAGAGCTTGGAAGGGGAGCGGCTTCCCAGCAGCCTAGAGACCTTGATCTTCGGCCATGATTTCGACCAGAGCTTGGAAGGGGTGCAGCTTCCCAGCGGCCTACAGACCTTGACCTTCGGCTTCAAATTCAACCAGGGCTTGGAAGGGGTGCAGCTTCCAGAGGCCTACAGACCTTGTCCTTCGGCCATGATTTCGACCAGAGCTTGGAAGGGGTGGAGCTTCCCAACTGCCTAACGACTTTCTCCTCCCGTCTTTTTCAGATACGCACCTGTTAAGCTCCGAGATTGGAATGGGCCATCAGGATTCGGACGACATGTGAGGCCGATCTCGCGTTCAGAGGTCGCATATTGCATGGGAGGGTTTAGGGTTTAGGGCCTAGGGGTTTAGGGTTTAGGGTTTAGGGTTTAGGGCCTAGGGGTTTAGGGTTTAGGTTTAGGATGAAGTTGCAGGATTGGTCGCTTGGATTTACGTTCGCCTTTGGGCAAGATGCGATTTGAGCCTTCGTCAGGCGTCTGGGGAGCGAGGCGTTGATGGGTTTAGGGTTTAGGGTTTAGTGTTTCGGGTTTGGGTATTAAAGTAAACTCAACCCGAAGCCCTACGGATAAGCCCTGAAACCAAAGCCCCTGAACCTTCAACCCGTCAAGGTAGACCCTACCCGAAGGACCCACGTGGCTCACAGTCGGTTTCTTTTCCATAAAGCCTTGAGACCCCAAAGTCGGTGTTGTTTAGGGTTTCGGGTTAGGGTTTAGGGTTTAGGGTTTAGGGTTTAGGGTTTAGGGTTGAGGGTTGAGGGTTGAGGGGTTAGGGTTTAGGGTTTAGGGTTTAGGGTTTAGGGTTTAGGGTTTAGGGTTTAGGGTTTAGGGTTTAGGGTTTAGAGTTAGGGGTTAGGGGTTCGGGTTAGACTTGAGCTTTGGGGTCAGTAGTGGCCTGGGTTTTTGTTGGGGGGTCACGTGAGGTTTCTTCCAAATCTCACAGCCCGTTTAGGGGTAACCCCCCCCCCCCCCCCACCCCCTACAAAGCAGCCGCTTACCTACGCACTATTTGCTTAAGAAGCACCCAAAAATGATGAAACATATATTCTTCCTTCTAAGGGTAATATAGGGATTATTATTGTTTTCATTTTGTGGGGGGTTCTTAAGCAATAGTAGCTTACTGGAGAGGACTTCCTCCCAAAAGATTCCAAGTTAGGACTGACTGCGTTTGACTTCGAGGCCCACCCCAAACCCTAAGCCCTGAACCCTAAACCCTACACCCTCAACCTTAAACCCTAAACCCTAGACCCTAAACCCATAACCCTAAACCCTAAACCCTAAACCCAGGGTTTAGAGTTTAGGGCTTGGGCTCCTTTGTAAGCCGGTCCTAGATGTACTCTGCAGGCCCTTGCAGACATCATGGAGGAGTTGCGAGAGGAGGTCGTGGTGATACGGAGATGCGAACTCACCCTAAAGCCTAAACCCTAAACCCTAAACCCTAAACCCTAAACCCTACTGTGAGGCCCAGAGTGTGTGAAGCAGCGTTCATATTGCTTTGTTGGGTGGTGCTTCGTACTAGCAGCCCTACTTCATGTTGCCCTGTTAGGGTTTAGGATTTAGGGTTTAGGGT